TTTTTTTGGAGACTATATACTAGCAGAATTGAAAATGAAAAATCTCTCGGTATTTACAGTATATACTTCGACTGTCATTCATTCATTCATTCATTATTTTCTTGAATTTAAAATTTTGTGCCTCCAAAAACACATGATTATATTGTGACAATTTTTTTTCTTGTGTCACCTTATTATAACTGTACACATCTTTCATTCATGGAGAGAATGCGAGTTGTTATTATAGATACTATTACATTCGAACGACGATGATGCATTCGTTTCGTTCATTATCGTTGTTCTTTGACGCAGACTCGCATTTGTTTGCACAAACATACTTAAAAATGAATGATAAAAATAATCTTTCGTTTAGTAGCAAACGAAACACATTTGCATACATAACAACTTACCAAGCAACAAAAAAAAACGTCTATCAACAAAGAAAGAAAAAGAAACAATTTCTATTTAACTAAGAAGACGAACAATTTTTTTCTTGCAATTTTTCTGTCTTTTTTTACAATATTATTGAAGTTTTTTAGACGAACTAACTAATAAATGAAAATTTGCATTCATTTTCATTTATTGTATGATCATCGATTGATAAGCAGTATATGATTAATAACTATGTGTTTGTAAGACGAACGAAATAGCAAATAAAGACAAGAAAGAAAGAAAGAAATACGGCGAAAAATGGTAGTCCTTTTTCTTTTTACTTTTGATGAGATTTTTATTAACTGAATGCAATGCACATGAAAAACATTTAATACAGTCAGAGACAACTAAAAGAAAAAAAATAGCAACAATATTTTTAAATTCCATTTATGATTAAAATTTTCGTTTCTTTTTCTTTCCAACGAATAACGATCGATAATGCAATCACTTCGATATTAAAAAAAAAAGAACGAACGATCGAGATAAGAAGTCGTTAATGTATATTTATAGCAACCAGCCAAGAAACAACCAAAATATATTTAGAGGGTGTGAGTATAGGACATGGATGAAGAGAAAACTCACACCCGCATCTCTAGATGCAAATCAAAATTATATTCATTTGTATTTGTTCAGTATATTAATTTTATTTTGTTTAAATAATTATCAATCATTCATCAATAGGAAAATTGACTGTTGCATGCCATTTGACTTCGTACGTAGTATGATTATGAGAAGATAACAGCTAGACTAAGACAAGCTTAAACAAATACGTATTGATGATCTAACAGTAATGGAAAGTTATAGGACATTTTAACAATGACCGGGTCATGATCATATTTTGAACTAGGCATAGTTGTATGAGTCCTATTCAGTATTCGCATTAATTTTCATTTGTTCTATCTTAGCCAAAGAAAAAAAGAAACAACTATTTATAATTGAGTAACATTATTGATCAACTGCATTGAATGTCTTAAATTCAGCAATCTAAAACACATCACTTGAATCAATGTTACAAATGTATAGTATTTAAATGAATTTTGCTGAGATTTAATCATACCCTTTGTAGATAATTGATTCACATTAAAACGATTAAGATTATTTGACTGATATTTTATTAACATATTCTACTAAGTATTCATGTGAGAGTTCAACGAAAATGAACATATATCTTTTTCAACATAGTCAATTTTCAAATAGATATGGTAAACTACTAGTTTTCTCAAACAAAATATTGAAGTCAAAACTTTCTATTAAGATTTTTCGTGCTTCGATCGATGCTTAGACATATCCATAATATGAGATGGAATGGTGTCTAATATTTGAATGTATTTCATCATCAATTATGAAAACGACTATCGTTTTTTATTTACATTGTTGATTGAATAAAAAGTAAACATGTCAATTGAGTTTGAATTCGAAGATATTCGGTTGCATAACGAAGGAAGAACTACCATTGAGATTCGGTCGAACTATTGAATTTCCAATATCCTTATTTTGCAAGAGGCTTCTGTAGAACTTCAAACTGACAGAAACAATTTTCTTTTTGCATTAAGTCTTAAGATCTTATATATAGTGGTAGCTTTCCTCTGACTAATCGACACATTATGAATTTAATAGTTTCGATAAATTATAATAGTAACTCAAATCCATTTAAGACTTTCACCACTAGATACTATGCAGCATTTACAGGCGATTTTTTCTTGATTCATCTGATCATGAAGACGGTTAAGAAATATTCTGAAAATTGGACACCTTATATTGATTCTTATATACATGATAATGAAAGTAATCATGATGTTGTGATCGATCACTAACAAAAATAATTCTTATTGATAGGAAAAAAAAACTTCTTGAATATAAATCATACCATCGTGTTGATTTTTATTCTTATAAATGAAAATCATTGCATTCAACAAAAAATAAGTATGTTTACTTTTTAATTTATGTAAATAATAATGTTTCCTATATTGTTTTAAATTATTAGATAATTTATATTGATTCATTCAATAATCTTTGACTTACAATATATCAATCGAACAATCATAATGATCTAACAAAACCACCATATCATTTTTATGTACAATATCGAATTATTAATATATAAAAACTAGTATATGTTTATATTTTCTCATTTCAGTCATGTGTGTGTGTATAGTTTTTGAATTCTACTTCTAATCATTGTATGTCTAATAGGCACGCTTTTCGATTGTTTTCTTGTTGTACTATTATAACATTTAGTTATATGTGATAAATTCTATTAAACTATAATACACATAACAAGAACAAACATTTTTGAATTCTATAAATATTTTATTATATATAATATTAGAAATAATGGAAAAAAATCATGTTTTTATTTATTCTTCTTCACATAAATAAAACACATTCGTTATTAGTGGAAATCTATTAGCATTATATCTATAGGATATCACACCTACACGTGGTATTATTTCGTTGCTCATTCTTACTATCTATTTACAATGACGATGTTGGAAAAAACCTTGACAACAATGCAAATAACATAGATTCATTTTATTATATGAGTTTATTTTCGTTTGTCCTTCTGCTTCTTCCTCGTCTCGTTGAGATAGCGATGCAAACTTCAAAAGATAACAAAACATAATGACTTAAGCAAAACAACCAATTCAACAAAAAAAGAGAATGATCTCTATCGAAAAACTAAAGAAACTTTTGTTGTATCTTCAGAAAAAAAATATATGTTTTAAACATTTTTACATTAATTAAAACAGGAATTTGTTTTCTTTCTTGCTTTCACACTGTATTATGATTAAAATAAATACTTTCCTAGAAAAAAGGTCACAATAGAAACGAGTAGCTTCATTTTTTCTTCTTCATTTTGGTTTGTCGTTTGGTAAGAGGTCTACTTTATTGATTCAAGATATCTTGCACATAGAAACATAGACAAAGATAAAAGAATTTTCTAATGAGACCAGATAAAAGCAAACGAAAAATAAAAAAACAATGAAAACAAGCAATATACGAAGCAATTCATTTTGAGATCGTATTCATAATCTTTCGTATTTTTCTCTTCTACGAATGACGATCAATCAATAGTGTAATTATTCATGCTTTTTGGACGGATTCTTCGTTTTCATGCCAGATGCACAGAGATTTCGTTCGTCACATGTTTTGTCGTTATCATTTCGTCAGTAATAAAACTCTTGAAATAAAAAACAAAAACGAACGAACAAAAGATTGAGATAAGAAATCCTTCAAGTCTTCTATAGTGATAACAACAATAAACCAAAAAATAGAAAGTATCAACAGGAAAGAAGAAAAAACCAAAATAAAAACTATCTACAGAGAGTAAGAGACGAATTCTGTTTTTGTCCATTCTTTCTTTTCATCACCATCGAACAAGTATTTACATTTTTATTTATTTATTCATTAACCAAACACAGAAAATCATTATTATTATCAACATCATCCAAATGGATAAAAAGCAATACTCAAAATCAACTGCTAGTGGATTTTCTTCATCGTCCACAACAAATAAACCAAAGAAAACATCATCATCATCAACAACAGCAGCATCAGTATCAACATCAACAATGGGCAACAAGCAATATTCAAAATCAACTGCTAGTGGATCTTCTTCATCATCCACAACAATTAAACCAAAGAAATCATCATCATCAACAGCAGCATCAGTATCAACATCAACAATGGGCAACAAGCAATATTCAAAATCAACTGCTAGTGGATCTTCTTCATCGTCTACAACAAATAAACCAAAGGAAATATCATCATCATCATCAACCGCAGCATCAGTGTCAACGATGGGCAGAAGTGCTGCGCTTCCTCAACCTGCTCGTCGAATTATTCAGAATTTTCTTCTAGTCTGGCTCGATGCCAATGTTGACGAGTCAAAGGAAGATTTCCAAAATTCGTTAAAACAATTACGACGAATTGTAGCATCCATTACAACATTCACCGATGCTCAACAATGTTTCGATTATCTTAGCGGCATTACTAAAGAAAAAGCATTTATGATCGTATCGGGTTCACTTGGACAGAAATTTGTACCAGAAATGGAAGCCATACCACAATTAGAGTCCGTGTATGTTTTTTGTGGTAATCAATCTTATCATGAACAATGGGCCAATAAAGTACCAAAGATTAAAGGTGTATACACAAAAATTGAACCAATTTGTAAAGCCCTAGAAATTGATCGACAACGATGTGATCAAGCTATGATCTCGATCAGTTTCAATGGTCTTGATGCATTGTTTATGTACACACAACTTTTGAAAGAAGCAGTCTTAGAAATCGAAGACGACGATGCCAAATCGATTAAAGATCTCGTAGAATACTGTCGTCTTCAAAATGATATTGTTGATGATGAAATTAAAAAGGTACAACGTGAATATCGTGATCAAACACCGATTTGGTGGTATACGGCTCCTTATTTCATGTACTCAATGCTTAATCGTGGTCTTCGACAAATGGATGTCGACATTATTCTTAAAATGGGCTTCTTCATCCGCCATCTACATCAACATATTACAAACTTACATCGCGAACAGCAAAATAGCAAAGCAGCCATGCCATTGAAATTTCAAGTTTTTCGTGGTCAAGGCTTATCTATGGAAGCCTTTGAAAAAATGAAGAAAACCAAAGGTGGACTTATGTCCTTTAATAATTTCTTATCGACAAGTCTTAATCGTGAGATTTCTTTCAAAACCTTTGCACGGCCAGCAGCATTCGATGCGGATTCAGTTGGCATCCTTTTCATTATGAACATCGATACGGCCGTTTGCACAGCTTCATCGACACCTTTCGTCAACGTCAAAGATATTGGCTTCTTCAACGATAAAGAAGAAGAAATTCTTTTCTCCACTCATACAATTTTTCGCATCGATCGTATAGAACGTATTGAAGATAAGCATACCGATCGTCTCTGGCAAGTCAATCTCGCCCTCGCTGGTAATCAAGACGATGACTTTAACAAATTAACAGCACATTTACGCGAAGAATTTACATGGACCACAGGATGGTCTCGATTTGGCGATATACTCATTAGAATGGGTGAGTCTGCAAAGGCGGCACACCTCATTGAGCTCCTTCTCGAAAAAGCCTCTTCGGACAGAAATCGAGCGAATTATAGTCATCAACTTGGTAAGGTGTATGATAACATGGGCGAGTACTCGAAAGCACTTTCATCGTATGAACGAGCACTTGAAATCTGGAAAATAGCTCTCCCTCCGAATCATCCCGACTTGGCTGTTGCCTACCTCAACATCGGTAATGTGTATAATAACATGGGCGAGTACTCGAAAGCACTTTCATCGTACGAACGATCACTTGAAATCCGAAAAATAGCTCTCCCTCCTAATCATCCCGACTTTGCTCAATCCTACAACAACATCGGTTCAGTGTATTATAACATGGGCGAGTACTCGAAAGCACTTTCATCGTATGAACGATCACTTGAAATCAAAAAAATAGCTCTCCCTCCAAATCATCCCGACTTCGCTCAATCCTACAACAACATCGGTAATGTGTATTATAATATGGGCGAGTACTCGAAAGCACTTTCATCGTACGAAAGATCACTTGAAATTCGAAAAATAGCTCTCCCTCCGAATCATCCCGACTTCGCTCAATCCTACAACAACATCGGTATAGTGTATTATAACATGGGCGAGTACTCGAAAGCACTTTCATCGCACGAACGATCACTTGAAATCCGAAAAATAGCTCTTCCTCCGAATCATCCCGACTTGGCTGCTTCCTACAACAACATCGGTAATGTGTATTATAACATGGGCGAGTACTCGAAAGCACTTTCATTTCTCCAAAAAGGACTCGAGATACGACAAAAATCACTGCCACCAAACCATCCGGATATTGCACACTCGAAAAGAAACATTGACATTGTGAAAAAGAAAATGTAATTGTTTTTTTTTAAACAAGAAAATAAATTGCCCTTCTTACACACGTTTAGCTCACCGAAGCGCACCAGCTGCAACACATTTCGTGCACGCGCGACCAGGGATACCCTCCGTATTCCGTTGGGTTGTACAGTACACAAAGCCGGCAATGATAACGCAAACATACATGTATGTATGAATGACTAGTACATCCATGATCATCATCTTCGGAAAGACGATGACGAGATGGATGCTTCTAGTCATACATACATAGATGTATGTTATAAAGGCCTACCATCTACACGCCTGTACAGGTTACCAACGGAACCTCGGATATCCCTGGGGAGGTTCATTTTGTTTTAGAGCCACCCTCAAAAGCTCCGTTAGTTTTAAATTTTTAGTTCTTCTGTTACGAAGAACGAGAAGAAAGACGACGTTGACGGAATTTTAATACGCAGCGTATAATGACAACCGGTTGTTTTAACGCATGCTGTGATATTGAGTGCACGATATCTATGTCGTCTTTACACATGTTATGTTCAATTTATTTTTCTTTTCATCTGGAATGTGTAAGAACAAATGACATGTCGTGCACTCAATATCATATTATACGAGTGATGACTGAACGAAAGAAGAAGACAAAAAAAATTATCGACTATTCTCTTTGATTAGTAACATACATATATATAAGAGATAATTGAAAGAAGAAAATGAAAAAGGAATTTTTATACATTTTATTTTTATATTAGTACTAAAAATGATATCGGTGATGATGCAACTCATCGCATATCTAATTATGATATTCAAAGAACTTTTGTAAGTACAGATCTTTATCAGGCGGCTTGTGTTCTAGACTATTTCGATACTTTTAAGATCGTGTGCCATGTTTTCTCACTCTCATTTATAGTTGATCGTCTCAAATAGATTACGAACAATCTTTCATCCATTAATATTCAGATCTGTAACTCATTTGGAATTGCACGATAAACTTCCATTTAAACATGAATTTTTCATTCTAATTACTCAAGTTTTTTCATCACTTAAATTATTATCTATTATGAATATTCGACCACAATTTTGAAGATCTTACAAATATCGATTCATTGATAACTATTCATATTCGATTGTTGAATATTCTTATCTTATTTTACTTAATTTATATTTCTGAATGAATTTAAAACACATTTATCATGTTTAACTAGATTAAAAGATTTATATGGTCAATTAAAAAGTGTAATAAAAAGCTTAACAAGAAATAGAACAGAACAAAATTGAACCAAAGTGAAACGATTAATTGTTGAAGACTCAATAATTCTGTCTGAAGGTGTTCATCGTTATTTCCTTTCATTATAAATTCAATCTTGTTTTGATTTCACTTAAATAAAAATCAATAATTTATATCTTTCGTTTTTCAGAAAATAGAAAAGGTGTTAAATATTATTTGTTAATAATCGGACTATACGTAACATAAAACAAATCGATAAATCATTTTTGATCGTTCAATCTGAAGAAAGAACCATGAAAATAGTTATTTATTGTTTCAATTACACAAATTATAACAGAATTATTTTACATTAAACATAAGCAATAATTATTAAGATTTCATAGTGAATGAAAATTTTTTTTTTCTAACTAACTTCTTTTCTGTAAGTCTAAAGATATTGCAACAAATGAGAAATACAGTGGACATACTCAAATGATTTTTAACATTTTCCATGAAAACTTAAGAATTTCCAATAAAAAAATGATTAGGACATCTATGATAAAATGCTGCAAATATATTAAAATAATTTATATAGATAGATGAATATAAGAGACTTTTGTAGTAAAAACACGTTTTTTTGTACGAAAAAAAAAGAAGTATGTAGTGGAACATGATTCGAAACCATTTGTTCACGTTTTCAATGAAAAACGAGATGTTCCAATGCAGATCTTTGTAAATTCTTTTCTCATATCAATGTTTAAGTTATAATTTCGTTAGTAACTTGATTGTTTTACAAGATTCATTTCGAACATAATTAACTAACATGTATTCAACCTCGCTCATAATTCATATTAATAAGTTTAATTTCTTAATCTACAGACAACGAATAATAGAAGTTATTTATTGTTTCTCAGTAGTTGTTCTCTTTTACAAAATAACTTGATATTAATTCTATAGATCTGTACTGCTAAATTTTACCGAAGGATAATGTATTGAACAGTTCTATCAAACAACGAAAATTATTCCATCATATTCAAAGCAAGCAAACCAAAGAACCGTTTCAAATCGATATGATAAATTCCGATTATCTGAAGTAAACGGGATTGAACTAAAATTTAATGACACTGTAATGTTGAGACGATTCATGACATAAGTCTGAATGAACTAGAATGATCTCAACTGATATCCAAAAATCTGCTTGAAAGAGTGTAAACCTAATGGAATCAACGCTGATTTTCAAGTCGACGAGAACAGATACCACAGTTAGATCTTACCTGAAAAAGTCGAGTAGCGGTAACAACAATAAAATGAGATGATTTTTTAAACAATGTCTTTTATTATGCTTTAATAATCATTTACAATATTGTATATCTTCAACGAATAATCAATGTAGACAGTTGGTATCATGCAGATCGCTATTCGAAACAAAAGTCGATTTATCTCAATAATTGCTCGACTATTTTACATCGAATAATAGAGTTTGTTTTATAAAAATGATGAGAGTCTTGAGACAGTGATTCAAATTATTCCAATTAAGTTAATTCCAATCCTTTCAGCAATTTCAGTTGAGGAGGACTTGGAAAACTACTAGTATTTTTTGAGTAAGTTTTCAAGTATTGCTCCTCAGACACGAAAAGGTTCGTCTCATTTTGCTCTATCTTCTCATGTGAAATGAGGCAAAGATGAACGAATTTGATCGATTTTCAATTGAAATAATGAAACATAAACAAAAACGAACAGTTTTTTTCGAGCGATCTTTCCTATCTTTGGATGAATATGTCATTTTTATGAAAAATCTTACGAAAAAAAAATAAAAATTCTAAGATCTATTCTTAAGAAGTTAGATGAATATTAATCAAAGCACATTTGAGTTCAATATCACTAGATTTTATATTTAACGAAATTTAACTTGAAATTTTCTTTCAAACTCGATGAAAAATAAACTACTCTCTCTTGATAAAAAAAAGAATTTGAAATCATCTATCAATTCTCTGAAAATAGAAAATTCCGTTGTGTGGATAAGAATCAAATACCAATTGTATAATCAATAATTTATGTAGTTCTATAGTTTACGTCTCTCTTTCATCCTTACGTGGATTGGGAATGTACATTGACTAAATATTCTGAAATAAGTCAAAACAATTTCAATTCAACATTATACTGACTATCTTTAGTATGATGCTCTTAAGAATGTTATAGATTCATTTATTTTACAATAAACCATGTTCTTCAGATCATTTTTCATGTCGATATTTCTTTTTTCTTTTTGACTTTATTACATCTAACTATACAACCATTTGAGATCATGAGTATTTGATATATATTGAAGTCATAGTTTATTAAATTCATGTAGAATTATTCTATAAATAGTTATTTAAAATGAAAAATCTTATCGATAAATTTTATATATCAGAAGAAATTAGTACTAATTATGTTCAGGTTTTTTTTTTGCTTTGTGAAATCGAATCTACTTTTTATTCGTATATTTATAAATACTTATGAGAAAATAGATTGATTTATATCAAAGAAAAACTATTAGATAATTACATTATTTTCTAAGATAATATTTATAGAAATATAATGAGATTTATCGATCTCTATCAGATATGATTCTATTTTATTTTCAACTTTGAATAAAAATTGTTCAAAATTCTCTGTATATTGTTTTATTTTTTCTTTTTTTGTCTTTGATTTTTCTTACAAAACGAAATTATTTGTCTAGTTCATTCCCCTATTACGAATGAATAATTTATTTTTAGGTGACAGATAAATTTTTATTTTTGTCTTTGTTCATAAAACTTTTGCAAATCTCAAGAATATAAAATATTCTTGAAATATCAATAACAAACGAAAGAAATTTTAAAAAATATTTTGCTTTTTGTTTCTTCTTGAAAAGGTGTTGTTATTTTATTATTTCGATGATAGTTATTGCTTTAATTTTATTTCTGCTCATGTTATAGTATTTTATTTTTTAAAATATTTTCTAGAAAATGAAACTAATTGATTGATGAAATCCTGGCAAAACGAAAAACAAAAACAAAAACTGACGTTTTTCTATAAGTGAGGACAGTCGAACAAGTTCCAATCAACAGATATCTTTTATAGCAATTAAATATAAACGCGAATCTTTTTACTTTCGTCTTCAAGATAAATGTACATTTATTTATTTATTTATAAATCCAAAATATAATGATTTCGTAAATCGGTGTGAAGCTAGCACGATGATTAACTATCATGACGGATTTAGGTGAACTTGAAGTCTGTAACGCTGGATATTGTGGGGACGGAAGTTGGATGAGGATGCTCGGCAATATGTACACAAGCACCTGCACCCAGATTTCCGCCCTGAAAAGTCCAAGTATTCAGAGTTTTAGGTTTATCTAAATCCGTCCTGGTAGCTATTCGTCGTGTTAACTTCACATCAATATTTCCCTTAATAGAAAATGTTCTTATCTCAAAAAATGAATTTTTAGAATTAGTAGCTTTTTTTTTCTACTCTGCCTTGAATACTTTCTTTTGATAGTGAACGATAATGAATAAGGACGGTAGGTCAGTCATGACCCGATGCCGGAATTGATTCAATAGTTGATGTTTCCGAGCGTTTATTAATTAATAATAATGATGGAAAAAAAGAATTTTGTGAAAAGATAGGCTTTTTCTAATTATTTATTTCTATTATACAAAAAAGCACCAATAAATTGAAATTAAATAAAAGAAAAGGTAAAATTGTATGAGTAACGTAGTCTTGTTTTTCAATTTAATTTTCAAAACAAAGAGAAAATTTTTATAATTTATTAGATGATACTTATAGAAAGTGATT